CCTCACCATTTTTCTGAATTAGCAAGAGGCAAATTTCCCCATCTCTCTTGGATGTGGGCCGTTTCTGGTCCTCGGTCTAGTTGAATTTGAAGAAAAAGGATTTAGGAATAATCCGGGCTGATGGGTTGATGAATAGTTCCAAAAATAAGCGTATTCCAACGGATTTCACCTTTATTCTTCTCCAGCTGAGCCAGTCCAACTTGTCCTATTATTCCACAATCGTCTCGTGATCCCCGCAGGTCCCGTTAGTTTCCTCGCACGAGTAGTGGGTCCCAAACAGCTGAGTTTTCACAGAAACTTCTGTTTATATAGCCTAATATTTTGACGTGACACCTCCAGACCGATCATGCCATCGGGCAAACCCATCCTTCTGGGCTGGGCTTGGACCCGACTCTCAGGCTCATCTATGAGGATCTGCCAGTCACTCCTCGTGCATATTAAAATCTGGGTGTATTTTGTTCAATTTTGCTCGGTCATGCTGAGTTGCATGTTTCTGATTAGCTCAGAGCTGTTTCTAGGGCTTGGCCTTGCATAATACCTCTGCTTGTATAACTTCTTCTAGAACATTCGTGAAACCACGGGGTCCTTCTTTCAACAATCAACAACATGAACAAGCTTAAAACAGATTATATTTTAAAATCACAAAGTTTATAATATTACTTGATTATCTACTTGTTTATTGATTTATTATAAACACATCTTTCTCATTCATCTGAAACTGGAAATTTTTATTAAAAAGAGAAGACATCTTCTGCTCTGCTATTCTCTTTGCGCGTGTGTGTGTGTCCAAGCAAGCCTGTGTGTGTGTCTATGTAGTTGTGTAAGTGTGTGTCATATACATTTGTGTTTATGTGGTGTGTAAGTGTATGCGTTTCTTTACACATGGTTTTCATTATCTCAGACTCCGAGGCCTTGAAGCGGGGCATGTAATGACATGTTCGTTTTGTAGGAACAGGCTGAATTCCGCACATCAGCTTCCTTGACACATGTCATCGCTGGTCAGGTTGGGGAGGGGGCCGGAGAAAACTACAGAGTCCAACATGGTGTTAGCAAAGTCACACACCGAAGCAACATTAATTTTAGTGACCTCCCATTGGTGTAACCGGGTGTCATTACCGCCGACATGAATAACAATCTTACCGTATTTAGCCTTAGCAAGCAGTTTCAGATAAGATTCTATGTCACCTGCTCTGGCCCCCGGAATGCATTTGACTATGGCCGCTGGAGTCCCTAAAGCCACGTTTTGGACTATGGAGATGCCAATAACCAGGGTCTGCTTCTCAGCAGGTGTGTCACTGAGCGAGGAAAATTGATTAGAAATGTGAACGGGTTGGTGGTGAACTGGGGGCTTAGCCTTAGCAGCACTACGCTTGCTCCGGACCGTCACCTGATCAGGCCGACCTGAGGTTCCGGCTACTCGGGGTCTGCTGGAGGACCGCTAACGGGAGCTAGCCTCTGTGGTTCCGCGCTGTCTAAGGGGACCTGGCTAGCTACTGGTTTTTCTACAACGCGGAGCCGAGGTTCCAGTTCAGACAGCCTCTCCTCCAAAGCTACCATAAGACTACATTTGTTACATGTATCATTACCACTAAAGGAGGCAGAGGAGTAACTAAACATCTGACACACGGAGCAAGAGAAAACAGAGGAAGCAGGGAGAGAAGAGCAGCCATGCTAAGCTAATGCTAGCAGGAGCTAGCAGAGCCAAATACACCAATAAAAATTGAGAAGTGTTGAAAGATAAGAGGTGTTTTAAGCGCTATCCAACAGTAGAAAAACAACTGTACTAAGTGTGTTTGAACTAGAATGAAAAACTGTGCAAAAGACAGATAAATCCAGAAAACAGAGACGACTCGAGCAAACAATTCACTCGAGCTACCGACAGAGAAACAGGAAATGACACAATACGTCTCACCACGAACGTGCAACATCACACCACAGGGATTGAAAAAGTTTGAGCCCTCCAGTCGATTTAGACCCCCTGACGATGTACCTAAAGTCTACAGTTACAAATCTTGGTTTTATGATGGACAGTGATTTTAAACTCGACAGTCAAATACATGTAAGGGCCACAGTAAAGTCTGGTTTTTATCATTTGAGAAAATTAGCAAAGGTAAAATCTATTCTTTCAAAACAGTTTGAAACAGTAATCCATGCTTTCATTTCATCATGGCTGGATTACTGCAATTCCCTCTATCTCGGAGTCAGCCAGTCCTCACTTGCACATCTGCAGCTGGTGCAAAAGGCTGCTGCACATCTCTTAACTAGAACACGCAAAAGAGAGCACATCACACCTGTCCTTGCTTCTCTCCACTGGTTGCTCATGTATTTTCGAGTTCATTTTTAAATTTGTTTGTTTGTTTTTAAGATTTTAAACAACCTTGCCCCACCTTATTTAACAGAGCTTCTCCACCACTACACTCCTACACGGTCACTCAGATCTGCTGACCAGCTGCTTCTGGTCATTCCCAAGAGTAAGAGGAAGCTTAGAGGAGACAGGGCCTTCTCTTTTAGTGCCCCTAAGTTATGAAACGCTCTGCTTTTGCGCATTCGACAGGCCCCTTCACTGTCCATTTTTAAAACCCGTCTGAAAACTCATCACTACTCATTGGCCTTCAACCCAACTGAGACTTGATTTTACTTCATTTTTATTGGTATAGATTTTTTTCTGTTTAACTCGTCGTTTTATTATGTTTTAAATTGAGTTTTTAGTTCACTGTGAGCTTGGCTTTGTAGCTTTGTTTCACCTTTCTTTTCTTGTTTTTAACTGATGTTCGGCACTTTGTTTCAGCTGTGGCTGTGTTAAAAGCGCTTTATAAATAAAGTTGATGATGATTATGCTGTTTTTATGACACTCTGGACGCTTGTCACCCACAGCAAGTATGCAACAAAGAGTATAAACTCAAAGCAGGGGTACTACCTGCACCCTCTTTCCTCTTAACATTATTATTTTTTTTTTTATCGATGACCTTGTCAAAGAACAATTTTCACGTGTTCTTAAAATTTATTTGTAAATACAGAAGTACCCCCGCCCCTCGCACAGTGATTGCTGGACATGGGCACCAGCGACCCCCGTGACCCAAAATGGAAGAAACGGGTAAAGATAATGGATGGATGGATACAGAAGTACAGTAATGTTTAACAAATGTTAGGACTCAATTCTATACTAACAAAATATATTTTATGTCATTAAACAACTTGTCTGGTTCTTCTCTTGTGAGCATGCACGTTACTTGCAAGGACAGACAATCACAACATGCTTACACAGCATTCAATTCTGTTTCTCAGACATACAACACATTCATCATCATTCCGGACAGTTTCTTTAAACACAAAATCGTTATTGGTAAGACCCTGTGTGACTTTTAGGAGAATGATAGCCCCTGGTCACCTGCCTAATTTGAGACCTCCAATCCCACATAATGATAGTCCCTGTATTGTGAAATTCTTTATCAAAAGGGCTCGTGAAACGGTCGGCACAGATATTCAGACCAGAAGGAAAAAATAAAACACAGAGGAAGCTGTCAACTGCTAGGATAAATTAGTGTCCTTTATTATCCTGCCACAGAGAACAGCCAAGCAAAAAACATGTACACTCTTAACACACAGATTGATATGAAATAACTTCTCACCGTGACACTGGCCGGGAAGTCGTTTTCGACCCAGGTAAAGAAGAATCACATCAAAATTGGTATATGGCATTCAGCGCGTGCTGATCCACACCAGGACTCCCAACTCTCTGTTGTCTGATACATTTCTTATAAAGGCTTCCCTGATCGCGTGAGAGCAGATCAAAGCAAGTTTTGATGGTTACCAGAACAACGGATCTAATTAAACCATCATCAAAAGCGATGGCTCATCCTTCCAGTAAGGAGCGCCTGTGACCGTAAAAGCGGGCCAAAGCTTCCAGGTCAAGAGCACTCCTAATGCTTATTAAAGCATTCCTAAAGAGCACTCCTCGTTCCTTCTGCAAACCATCAAACAGTGTCTAAATATTATAAGCAACACACACACACAAAGTATATGTTTGAACAGGCATGAAGGCGACCCAACACCTCATAATACAAAATACAATCCCTAATATGTGAATAACACGTTGTATAAGTGTGTTTAAATAAGTATAATATAGGTCTAGATTGGCATAAAAGCATTAAAATAATAATTTCTATATCAGTCCCTGACTACCTCAAGGTCCCCCAAACCTTTATTCTATTCTGTACGTCCTCGAGAAATACAGCAGGGTTCTCTGAACCCCCTTTTGATAAAATGACAGCCCCTGGCTACCTGCCTAATGGAGTCCCTTTGTGAGTCTCTTAATGATATCTTCCCAAAATAATAAACATATCGTAATCTTCTCACCTCCTCCATGCGGCTGCATTCCCGTTTGCCACCCACCACCTCTCAAAACACCAGCAGACCTTGCCTCCCTGAATTTGCAATTCATACTGGAGAACTTTCAGTTCAGATTAATTCTCCCATGGTTTCAAATCCAAGCCTTGTGGTTCCGAAGGGATGTTGGGGCCGGCACTCAAAAGACCAAAATGTTGGATAAAAATATCTTTGCACGATCTTATTTACTCTAAGAAGCCTCGGACTCCCAGCTGTATCAAATCAAATCTCTCCTCTCTGAGAGAGAAAAATAACTCTCTGACCTCACACACATGGAGCAACATTACAGTAATTTAACATTAGTTAGTGATAAACATCCTTGACCTTGTCCAAAATTCCCCTGACAGTCCACATAAACTCCATCATGTTTTTGTATTTGTTAACACTTGTAGTTTGTGTTAAGGATGACTCTCAGCTACTACTACATCCAATTTTAGCTTAACATCCATAAAACTGTTTGAGTTAGTCATTTTTGTTTGTACTTTTTAAATTCAGTTTGCTACGGTGGCTTGAATAGGGCCGACTCCAAATGTTAATCATTTTGGGGAATGCCAGGCTTTTAATGTGGAAATATTTCACTCTCCTCTGTAACTTTAATGTTTACTTCTGTTCAGGTTGTGATCAATCCAAATCACGAGGTGGCTGAGAGTGACTTTACCAACAATGCCATGAAATGCAACTGCAAATACGATGGGCATCGGATCTGGTTCCATAACTGCCACATTGGTAAGTAGTCCAAAACACCTCAACTATCCAGCATTTATTTCAAACGTTGTTTAAAAATTATACCACTTTGTGTTTTAATCTGCAGGTGATGCACTCAGTGAGGAGGCAGAGAGGATATTTGAGAAATATCCTGGGCAGCTGAACAACAGAATATCCTAATAAACATTGAACATACCAAAATCATAATGTGCTGATTGAAACGGAGACCTAACTAGCGCAGACAACAAGACAAAACCCTTTTAAACTAACATGGTAACATGGATCCCTACCATGTTATTTTTAATTAGTATGTTGTGTTGATACTTGAAATGGCAAATTGGTTTTCTCTAGCTGAAGTGAGCTTATGCTCATTTTTAATTTAGATTTCTTTAAAGCCATACAGTTTATGTAGGCCAATGTACAACCATGTTTTTTTTATTTTGCATATTATATCCTGAAAGAAATTACATTTTAAATTTTCTTTTACAACCCAATTCCAAAACGTTGGGATGTTGTTTACAATTAAATAAAACCTGACTGTTATGATTTGCAAATCATATAAACCCATATTTTATTCACTGTGGAACACAGTAAATATATCAAATATTTACATAAATTGTTTTGGGGGGTTTTTTTTGTAAAAAAAAAAAAAAAAAAAAAGAGTAATTTTCCATTTTGATAGTAGCAACACATTTCATATTTGGGTAGGGCCAACAGAAGGCTATTTAAATAATTGGTACAAATAATTAACAGCTAGAGCAGGGCTATTCAACTGGCGGTCCGAGGGCCATCTCTGGCCCACTTCATTTAAAAAAAAACTTTTTTTGGGTTCTGGGCTCTGTTTATTGCATTTATGATTCAATTCAAAAATAATAATAAAATAAACAAATTTAAAAGATAACCGATCATTGTAAACATTGGTTTATTTACATAATGATTTTAATCCCTGGATGTCCGGCCCCCGAGCTATTGGCTTTCAGAAACTGTGGCCTATGAGCAGTTTTGTTGAATAGCCCTGAGCTAGAGGATCAATTTACACTAATTAGGTTAGTTGGCAGCAGGTCAGTAAGAAAAGTGGAGCTTTTAAAAGAAACAGAATCACAGAAGATGTGCAGTTTTACAAGTCTTAAAAACAGTGGAACAATTTCAGAATAATGCTCCTTAGTTGAAAATTGGAAGCCCTTGAATATCTGCAGTTCATAATGTCAGAAAAAAAAAAAAAAATCTCCAAGCACAAAGATCAAGGTAAGATTGGTTGCTGACCTTTGGTCTCTCAGAGGCATTCAGAACTGTTCTGATTCTGTCCTGGACATCACGGCATGGGCTCAGGGAGATTTCTGAAAATAATTATCTATATAAACACACTTCACTGTGCCATCCACAAATGCTGGTGGAAGCTCTATCAGGAAGAACCTATGTGAACATCCATTAGCGTTGTTGACTGCTCTGGGTGGGCCAAATATCATTTAAAATTGACTTAGGCAAAGTGGAAAACTTTTCTGTGGTCAGACAAATTGCATCTTGAAATTATTTTTGGGAATTTAGGTTACAACGTCCTCAGTACTTTGAATAATTACCTAATAACTTTTTTTAAATGATATTATAATATTATTAGATGCACCTGTCGTTGTCTTTTACAGGAAAGGTCTTGCTTATTTCAGCAAGACAATGCAAACCTGCATCCATTACAACAGCATGGCTTCATAGAATGGTAAATGGACTGTATTTACATAGCACTTTTCTATCAAGATACTCAAAGCTTTTTACAACACAATCTGTTCCCTCATTTATCCATTCATACAGCACTCTACTAGATCTCTACAAAGATAATCTTAATATTTAGAGACTAACCAGCGCTTTAGATCACACTCATTTATTTTTAGAAAAAGTGGCAAACACCCGGGCACTCATTTCTCCGCCAGCTCAAGATGGCGCCGGTGTGTAGGGCTGCCCGTCTCTCGCTCTCTGCTTGTATTTTATTTTTGTTATTTTTACAATGGTTTGTGCAGTGTGCCGAGTCATATTTTCAGTATGATCGTCGGGCACTTTTGGAGCTCCGTACTTTTGCTGAAATTCCCGCGGAGTTTTTGAACAGCGGTCAGCACTCTCCCCCACCGGTCCTATCTGAGATTCCTGCGTTCCTTCTGCGTGACCCTGGCCTTTCTCCATGGAGGAAACGTCGCAGACATCGTGGGAAGCGTGCAGGGATTTTGGTGAAACTGAGGCAAAGTGTGGATTATTCTAACAGGACTCGCTCTGGATCTGATCATCTCCTCTCTGACCCGTGGTGCTCCCGGGGCCCAGCTGCTGGCCAGCTGCCCGCGCGCTCTGTCCATGGAAACACCTGGAGTTGTTTACCTGTGCGCCGCACCAGCAGACCAGGAGGAGCCGTTCTTCATAACCTGCGCCCGCTGGCGCGCGCGTCTCCCTCCACGGCTGTGCCTGTGTCGGACAATATCAAGATGTGTTTAATCAACGCAAGGTCTGTTTCCAACAAGACGTTTATCCTCAATGACTTTTTTAAAGATGAGGAGTTGGATTTTCTGTTCGTCACAGAATCATGGATTTCTGATGGTGAGTCCAGCGCCTTGGTGGAACTACTTCCTCCGGACTGTGTATGTTGCAATGCCCCGCGGCCATCAGGTCGGCGCGGGGGGGGGATTATTAACAGTTTTTAAAGCAAACTTTGCGTGTAAACAGTTGTCCATCCCGGTGTCCCGCGCCAGCTTCGAGCTGAGCGCCTTTGAACTTGGACACTCTCCTCCGGTCCTGTGTGCGCTCATCTACCGCCCACCTCGTTCTAAGGACTTCATAAATGAATTCTCTGACTTTTTGGCTGATATCACTCAGAGATACACTCACTTTTTGCTTATTGGTGACTTTAATTTGCATGTGTGTTGTCCGGAGAAGCCCTTGGTGAAGGACTTTCTAGATTTATTGGACTCTTTTAATTTAACTCAGCAGGTGAGCGGCCCCACCCAAGAACATGGTCACACGCTGGACCTCGTTTTAACAC